GAAAGTGCCGAGTGTAGGACAAAATTTCGCAGCTCCGGCATAAACGCACTTGCATATATGCAAAAATACTTTTGTGAGTAAATGCACATCATATGCAAAGCAAATATTTTGTGAGTAAAGATTTATCGTTGTACAAGAAAGGTAAGATTTTGGAGAAAAATCGTTATGCAAAACCGAGATTTTTTTCCTAAATGGCTATTCAAATCACGTACGTTTCTGTTGAAAGAAATAAACATTGTTATATGCAAAAATTTAACTGATTAATGGAATCCATCTTTAAAAATAAAATTGATTCAATAAAAGAATGAAAAACACCAAAAAGATCAGCTGTTAAACAGATACAATAGAAGGAACAGTTGCTATAAACCATTTGTTTTCATCGACTTAGGTCAGTCGCAGTCGAGATTCAAACTCCCGATCATGGAGCGATGGCTCTACCGACTGAGCTACCTTGAACGCATTAGAACAAATGTCTAATTAAAAAAAACATTAAATCATTAAAACAAATGTCTAAATTTCAAAAACTTAAACTGATCTCGTATATTAAAATGAATATTTTACTTCAACAAGAGGCCCATGGGCCTTATAGGTCACCTGAGCATCATGCAACAACTTTCAAAATGATTGAATTGGTTCATGTTTTAAGCTAGATGCTATGGCATTCACAATTTTGAAAGCGGCACCACTGCTAATCATAACTTTCCACTTAGAAATTGCTTAGTTTGTTTACTTAATACCCATAGGCAGGGTAGGGGAAAAATTAATTTCATCTAATCAGTAATATTGAGCAGTAATCAGAAGTGCCCCTGCCACACATGAACCCCTAACCCTAGATCTACACATTGCACAAGTTTGGAAAAGGCACACTTGCTTATCAAAAATGTTTGATTTCTGTACCAAGGAGCAGATTTCAATTCATTTTCAGTATATAACTAGAGCACCCTCCCCCCTTTAGTACCCCTGACCCTGGAGCCTTGAAACTCACAATTCTGAAAGAAGAACCCTTGCACAACATAACTATATAGTTAGATCATCTGCTTATTACCAAGGAGCAGAGAAAAAGATTTTCATAGATGTAATGTATTTTCACTATATAATCAATAGAGCCCTGCCCAAACACCAGAACCCCTGACTATGGGGCCACGAAATTCATGATTTTTTTAAAAGAAGCATTCTTGTTCATTATAACAATGTACTTAGTTAGTTTATTTAATACCCAGAGGCAAAAGAAGAAGATTTTTAAAGAAATGATGCATTTTCACTATATAGTCAATAAAGCCCCGCCCTAACACCAGAACCCCAAACCCTGGGGCCATAAAATTCACAATTTTGGAAGAGGCACTTTTGCTCATCACAACTTTGTACTTAGTTAATTTATTTACATGTAATACTCAGGAGCAGAGATTGATTGATTGTATACTGTTTAACGTCGTCCCTCTCCAGAATATTTCACTGATATGGAGACGTCACCATTGCCGGTGAAGGGCTGCAAATTTAGGCCTATGCTCGGCACTTACGGCCTTTGAGCAGGGAGGGATCTTCATCGTGCCATACCTGCTGTGACACGGGGCCTCGGTTTATACGGTCTCTTCCGAAGGACCGCCCCATTTAGTCGCCTTTTACGACAAGCAAGGGGGTACTGAGGATCTATTCTAACCCGGATCCCCACGGGGCCAGGAGCAGAGAAGAAATGATGCATTTTCACTATAGAATCAATAGAGCCCCGCCTTAACACCCGAACCCCTGACCATGGGGCCATAAAATTCACAATTTTGGTAGGCACTCTTGTTCATCATAACTATGTACTCAGTTAGATTATTGAACACCCAGGACCAGAGAAGATTTTCAAAGAATTAATGCAGGGGATGCTCTCTCCTCCATGGCAACTGATCCCACCTCTGATGTTTTGGAGGTCCGTGTTTGCTCTGCTACTAGTTTGTATTGCTTTATGGACTTTTAATCTTGAACACTTTTCATTATCTCCATATGTTTCATTTGGTACTAGTATTTTAAACCCCTTGGGATTTTAATCTCGTCTGTTCAGACTGTTAAACACTTAACAATCTAAAGTTTAATATCATTTACATGTTTTAATGTATTAAAATATACTTCAAACTTCTTTTTAACTTTCGGAACGTTTTAGTTTGTTTGAAAGTTAATTTTTGTTTATTCAAACATTTCAATTTTGAAATAAGATAAACACCGAATTTTTAGAATTTGACAATTCATTATTCTCAAAATATAAAGGCTCTTTTGCTTGACCATTAACATTTTTAACATAGTTTCAAATTCAATCTGGGTAAGGAATTGAATATTTTGAATTTATGAACTAAAATTCCAATGAATCAAATTTTAAAAATTGCTATTGGCATTTTAAGGAGGAATGCCACACCAACTTTTTATGTTATAGATCTCTGAGTAAACCTTTTTAAACAATGGTTTCAGCATTGAAAGGCCGGCATTTTATGGGGTTTTTTTGTGTGTGCGTATTTTTTCAAAAAAAAAAAAATTAAAAAAAAGAATTATTTCAACCAAATTAGATGCTTTCTTATGAAAAATTTTGCTGTAAATGAATGCATCACATTAATACCTAATAAAATATGTACAGTAAACCCGTATAGATATTTAAATTTTTTGAATAAAAAAAATATTTATGAAAATAAAACACAGAATTTTTGAATATTTTTAAAACTTGTGGTTAAAATCTTAAAACCAGTCACAACTAGGGAGAACATGTTCGTTAAGCATATTTCTAAAAAGAAATTGAAACGAAATAGCCAAATTTTAAAGAAATTACTTTTTTTAAATTTTGGCCAATCCCGATCAAAATCAAACCGATGCTAACCATAATTGCACAATGATTGGAAATAACATTTCCTTTAAAACACTAGTCTGTTTAGGTGTATTAAGGGTTAATTCATTGTTTAACTTGACAATCAAATAGATTTCTTCATTGTAAATACATGAAAGAGGCAATAAGTTTGTATTTTATTCATTTTGTGTTAATTTTGATCGGGTTAGGTCCAAAATATTAAAAAGTAAATTTCTCTAAATTTTCTCAATTTCATAAAATATGATTGACAAATATGTTCTCCTCAGTTGTGACTAGTTTTATGGTGTTTTTAAGCTTAGGTTTAAAAATATCCACAAATAATGTGTTTTACTTTCATAAATAATTTTTGATAAAAAAAATTAAAAAGTCTAAGCAGCTTTCTTTACATATTTTATTAGAACTTCAAATGATGCATTCATTTACAGCAAACTTTTAACTCGAAAACATCTTATTTGGATATAAATATTTTTTTTTCATTTTCTTTGAAAAAAATTAATGTAAAATAATTCAGAGCTAATATCGGCCTTTCAATACTGAAACCATTGTTTAAAAAGGATGACTCAAAGATCTGTAAAATAAAAGTTGTTGTGGCATTCCACCATAAATTCTGATTGATCTAAATTTCTCAAAATGTTTTTTTTTAAATTGAAATTTAAGGGTTTGAAGTAATTTAGATTAAAATGTTTCTCTGATCTCTCGAATCAAAGTCTTCAGATGTAGATACAATGCAGAGAGGAAGTATAGTTTTATCATTGTGCCATGAAGACCCTACACAAAGATTATGTTTCTTCAATGTAAGGCACAAACAAGAAGACGTTCAACTGCAAATACATGTCTGACCTGTTTTAACATTTGTCACTTTATACACAAACATGTTTTCAAAGGAATGTCTAATTATAAAAAGTCCTTGATTTTTGGATGAGTAATAAAATGTGTTTTCAAATAATTACAGGTATAGCTGTACATTGTTAGCTCTACTGGTCAGAGACCAGAAGAGCTTATGCGATAGTAATGCGTCCGTCGTCCGTCCGTCTGTAAACAATTTTTCAAAATGCTACTCCTCCTACAGTTTTGGTCTGATTTCAATATAACTTGGCACACAAGTAAACTACACTAAGATACATAATTCTGTGTATCGGTTTTTGATTTCAATGAACGGTGTTGCTGTTGCTACTCAAAATAGAATTTTTTAATGAAAATCATTCAAAACGCTACTCCTCCTACAGTTTTGGTCAGATTTCAATATAACTTGGCACGCAAGTAGACTATACTAAGATACATAATTCTGTGTATCGGTTTTTGATTTCAATGAACGGTGTTGCCGTTGTTACTAAAAATAGAAAAATTTTTGAAAATCATTCAAAATGCTTCTCCTCCTACAGTTTTAATCTGATTTCAATATAACTTGGCACACAAGTAGACTACACAAAGATACATAATTCTATGTATCGGTTTTTGATTTCGATGAACGGTGTTGCCGTTGTTACTAAAAATAGAAAAAATTGTGAAAATCATTCAAAACGCTACTCCTCCTACAGTTTAAATCTGATTTCAGTATAACTTGGCACACAAGTAGACTACACAAAGATACATAATTCTGTAAAGCGGTTTTTGATTTCGATGAATGGTGCTGTCATTGTTACTAAAAATAGAATTATTAAAAAAATACTTTCAAAATGCTACTCCTCCTAGTTTTGGTCTGATTTTATTATAACTTGGCACACAAGTAGACTACACTAAGATACATAATTCTGTATATTGGTTTTTGATTTCAAAGAACGGTTTTGCCGTTGTTACTAAAAAATAGAGAATTCTTTGAAAAACATTTAGAATGCTACTCCTCCTACAGTTTTGGTCAGATTTCAATATAACTTGGCACACAAGTAGACTACACTAAGATACATAATTCTGTATATAGGTTTTTGTTTCAATTAACGGTGTTGCTGTTGTTACTTAAAAAAGAAATTTCTTTGAAATACATTTAAAATGCTACTCCTCCTTCAGTTTTGGTCTGATTTCAATATAACTTGGCACACAAGTAGACTACACTAAGATACATAATTCTGTATATCGGTTTTTGTCATTATTCTATTTGTTATATTTACAGTATTTTGTTTCGTTTGTAAGGGATTTATTGTACAGAGAGGCGTGGCTGTCGAGTCGCGCAGCGACGAGACGGCCACGCCTCTCTGTATAATAAATTCCTTACAAACGAAACAAAATATCTGTAAATGACTTTTGTCATGGTTATTTGCATATTCATTAAATAGTGAAGTAAAAAGTATATAAAATCTATTTATAAATATGCAAAGCATGTGTCTCTAGCTGAAGCACCAAACTGCACGCGACATGACGTCATCAGTCTATCCTAAATGCACAGCGTCAAACTGCGCCGAAACTTAGACCACGATGGAGCTGGACGAGCTTGATTTCTTAATAAGTGATTTAGACGATATAACTCTTTCACAAATATGTGAAGTTATTGAAAATGAGGAGTGTGCATTAGAAGGAATCAACGACATGAGTATCGGAGATTTTGATTTCGGATTTCTTTTCGGAGAACAAGAAGAACTTTTAAAAACTGAGCCACCCCCAGAAATCCCCGAACCATCGGCATCCCCAGAAACCGACGAACCACAGGGGAGGTTTGCAAGACCCATAACCGATAAGGAAATCAAGCTTCTCACGGAAGATCAGGAGTGTAAGAATACCAAGTCTAACACGAGGTGGGCATTTGGCGTTTGGAGAAAATGGCGGGAGCAGAGAAATAAACTTTCGTCAAATACCGGTGAGTTTATTCCAGAATTTTCTGCAATGGACGCTTCTTGTATGGACTATTGGTTGCAAAGATTTGTCGTTGAAGTTCGCAATCAAAAGGGGAATGAATACACGCCCAAATCCTTATATTATCTTATGTGTGGTTTGCTGCGACATTTGCGTGATATTGAAATATTTGGAATGAACTTTCTTGACCATAATGACGATAGATTTGCGCGGACACGTAAAGTACTCGACGCCCGAATGAAAAGCCTCGTAGCCCAGGGGATAGGAACGACCGTGCGACAGGCCGACCCAATACTGCCAGAACAAGAAGATATTCTGTGGGAAAAGGGTGTACTGGGGCAAAATTCCGCCATTTCCTTACAAAACACAGTTTTCTTCTATGCCTGTAAAGTGTTTGGACTTCGCGGATGTGATGAGCATCGTCAACTCATGTGCGAACAGTTCAAACTTGGGTCTGATGCGCAGGGGCAATTCATTCAGTTTGTGGGCAGACAGAACAAGACCTACCAGGGAGGATTACGTCAAATGCAGCTCAGCAATAAAAACATAAAGCATTACTGTAAGCTGGGTAAGTCTTCTGATTAAATAAGTTACATTAATTTAAAGTTTGAATATATCATGTCAATAGATCTATAAATTGCAGGTTTAGATTCTTAGCGCCCCCCCCCCCCGACTTTTTGTTAAATACCGAGTGTCAGATAGAAATAATAGGCCTAGATCTATAGGCAATTTACATTGGGGTGTAGTGTAAGTGGTAGCCTATCATATGAAAAAAAATGGTATTGCAAGAATTTGGACCCCCCCCTCCACTTTTAATATGTTTCAGACGTGGTTTTCTGTTATTATATTATTGTTACTGTTTTACAGGGGATCGAAGTCTTTATGAAATTTTCGACTTGTATCTGACAACACTGGGCAACGATGGACTGTTCTACCGAAAGCCTTTACCTGGTCCCGAGATCCGATTTGGTACTCAAGCACTTGGAATGAACAAGCTCAAGTCGATGATGAAGGAAATGTGTGCGGCCGGTGGTTTAACAGGCAACTTTACAAACCACTCTGGTAAAAGAACCTGCGCAACTCAGATGTATTTGTCCGGAATCGATGAGCAAGAAATAATGGCGCGTACAGGTCATCGTTCGGAGAAAGCTGTCCGAAAGTACAAGAGATCGTCTGATAAAAATACTTGAAACAGTTAGTTCCGTACTGGATCCGCCCGCACCAAAGAAGATCAAAGTTGAACCACCGACTTGTTCTTTAAATGCCGCTACAGCTGCTGAAGACGAACCCATGGAATTTGATGTGAAATGTTCTAATAATTCAATTTCTCGTAGCACAAGAAACCCAGGAAACAGGAGTGTTCTCTCGGAAATTACTGAAAAAGCTCTGTTTCAAAATTGTCAATTTTCTTTCAATTTCAATTGAATTTGAATAATCCCTGTATTAAATTTGTGTTATGCAATGTTCTTTATATGTACAATGTAAGAAGCAAGTACAGCACTGTTTATGTTACAGCTACTTTTCTCTTTCTTTATTACAAGTACAAACCAGTAGAGCTTCAGTCTCGACAGAGACTTCTGGTCTGGTTTGTTTTTGTTCATTGAGAGAAAAAAGTCGTTTTATGAAATAAACATATCTTGTCAATTTGATTTTCTTGTCAGTTTATCAATATTGAAACCAAAACGTTTAAAAGACTGCAGTTAGTATACAGAATAGAAAATAACAAAGTCGCCAATCTTCGACGTTTGAATTGTCCTTATAAGTTGTGAGTTTTGTTTTCACTAAGAGTAGACGGAAATCAGTCTCTTTGAAAGATAGTGGAGATTGTCATGATCTCAAAACCGGTTTTTTCCACGGAGAGAATTTAATGTAGGTATTAGGGTCAATATAAAAAAAAGCAGCTATTTATGTCACTGTTATGCTAATTTCATTTTTTAATTTTTTGAATGTCGAAAACGATCATATAACAAATAATGGACTATATATTTTCTATTGCACGTAAGAAAAAAAGTTAAATAATTTGTATTTGAATGAATATAAGAATTCAATCACTTAAATCAGCCGGTTTTACCCTGTCAATAGAAATGTACGTTCTGTTTGGCTGATAAATACACTCTAAATTATTAAATATATTATCAAAAATAATATGTAATTATGAATTACACAGTAAGAGGAATGTTTTTAAAAGTACAAAATATGTGCCCCATCCTCCATTAGAACAAAAACAGTTCTAAATATGTCTGTACATGAATTCTTTGTCATTGGTGTAACCAATTTTACTTTGTCGGAAAAGAGTTGTCATTCTTAGTGAATGACATCTTAACTAGTCCTGAGTTATATGACATCACTTCCTGTAAAAGACTGCAGACGCCATTTTTGTGTTTCATGGCTTGTGTTATGTCGACGAGCTTCTGATGACAAAAAGGTAACAAATACAATAATGCTTTGTCACTGGTGTTGTAGTAATTATGTCTAATCATTTGTAGATAGAATTCTGATTATCTAACTAAGTGTTTTCTAGACATTTACTAAACAAACTGTGAAGATGACCTTTTCACTCTGAAAGGACATTTGAGTAAGCAGCCACATATTCTGTAATGTTTGTCATTGGCGTTACTGTCATAAGTGTTACTGCTTCAAAGTAACACCAGTGATGAGTTTAGTTACACCAGTGACAGATTATGTACAAATAATTACACATTCTTTTTATTTTTTGGATAAAATGGAACTTCATTTTTATTCTACAACTTATATCAATTTTAATTTAAATTTAAGGGTCTTTAATTTAATTTATAATTTCTTTTATCTAATTGAAATCAAAATTTAGTTACAATGGTAACGCCTATGACATGTACATGTAATACCAATGACAATAGTGTTATAAAACGAATTTTTCTTTTTCAAATAAATAAATGTTAATTTTGTTAAGCTGATAAACTATTGAAGGATTGTATTTATATCATTCTAAAAAAGTTAAGTTTATGCAATTTTGCAATTTATCTCAAAAAGAGACTTTTAGATACAATGGTAACGCCTATGACATGTACATGTAATACCAATGACAATAATATTATAAAATGAACTTTTCGTTTAAAATAATGTATTTTTTATTTTATTATGCTGATAAATTGTAAAAGTATAGCATACATGTCAGTTGAAAATATAAAAGTTTGTACAATTTTGCAATTTATCTTAAAGAAAGATACTTTTGGGTGCAATGGTAACGCCTATGACATGTATGTGTAATACCAATGACAATAGTATTATACAAGGATTTTTTTTTCTTTAAAGATAATGTATTGTTTATTTTATTAAGCTGGTAAATGGAAAAGGATAGCACCTATGCCAATTGAAATAATCAAAGATTATCTAATTTTGCTATTTTTCTCATTAAAGAAAATTATAAGTACAAGGTAACGCCAATGACATGTGTATGTAATACCAATGAACTTAGCATCAATTTGATATAAACACTTTTGCCTAAATCATATATTGATCATTTTAAAATGCTGATATAAATTGCCTTGATAAAGAGCCACAAATTTGTTATTGTGTTTCCTTTAGGTCATGGCATTAACAAATGCAGAGAAGCAGAGAAGATATCGGGAAAAGAGAGATAGTGACCCTCAAAGAAGGTCAGAGTACCTGCAAAAGAAAAGACAAAAATATATCCAAGATGTAGCTGTCGGGAAACGCAAACACATTGAACAGTTGTCTTCAAGAGATCAACGTCAGCTACGAAGAACATGGCGAAAAAATCAAAAAGTCAGCAGAAAGAGAAAGAAGGACAAACAGAATTTATTAACCCCTCCGGATTCTCCAATACTTCTTCAACCACATCAACAATGTTCTGGAACCAAACGTCGGGAGAAGTCTAGAGCACAATGTTATCGTGATAAGAGAAAGTTACAAGAGCAGCTGCTAGAAGAGAGAAAGAAAAAAATGATGTATATGAAGAGATGGTTGAGAGAAAAAGAGAAAAACAAAAAATGTCCTGCAGATGAATCACCCCACACAAAGTCCAAAAAATTGTTGAGAGGTGTGAAATTTAACTTTCCATCTAAAAAGAAAAAATCCACTGTCAGACGTTCTCTAGAGTTCCACTTTGTGCTTACAAAAGCTTTAAGGCAAAAGTACAGGAGAGGAAGTCAAAAACTGAAACGTACAATGTCAAATGTTCTCTCGTCCAACATTTTACGTAAATATTGCTTTCTGAACAAAGCAAAAGTGGAAATTGGCATGCAAAACAAAAAAAATCAGAAGAGAAACTAGTGCTAATTGTAACGGGGACCGTTACAGATGTTCCCCAAACGCTCCCCAACTCCCTTTTGGTGCCATTTTCCCTGTAAGCTTCATTAATTAAGACAAACTCTGTGCATTTTTGACTTAAACAACGTTTTCCCAGAAGGATACAAATTATAATCAACTTTTAGCATTGCACCCAAGCACATGTGAATGCATGTGCGTTATGACCATATCATCTTGTCTACACTATCTATTTTAATATACTATATATTAAAGCATTCAGTCTAAAGTAATAAAAACCACTCAATCAATTGTATTTTTAATTATACTCATTCACAATGCACGCACGTGCGTGCACGTGCATGATGACCATACCTTTTTGTAGGAGTCCCTTACATCTATCTATGTTCTAAATCCCATTCTGTTTGGTTGAAAAACAAGGGAGTTATAGCCATTTCAAGTTTCAGCCAATCATATTGCAGCACACGTGCATGCGCGTGATTTCATAAATTTTTTTCTATATCATTTTATAGGATATCCTAATGTATGACTATGTTTAAAATTTCAAAGAATTTCGTCAAAAAACAAAGGAGATATAGCCATTTCAAGTTTCAGCCAATCAGATTGCAGCACGCGCACATGCGCATGCTTTCATGAAAATTCTTATATATCATTCTGCAGATCTTCATAATGTAGGACTATGTTCAAAATTTCAAAGAATTATGACAAAAAACAAGACAGATATTGAGACTTTAGGTTCAGCCAATCAGAGCGAAGCGCACGTGCATGCGCGTGAGATCTTGCTATTCTGACCATGCTATCTTGTCTATACTACTAATGTATCCTTACATTATGAGTTTCAAAAAATTTCATCGAAAAATAGAAAAGTTACGGCAATATCCATTATATTGGTCATTCCACGTGTTGCACGTGCGCGCTCTTGCAAGCACGTGCGCGCAAAATGACCTTCGTTCGGCACATCTACACAAGACACCTATTAACCCTAAAAAGGTTTTAACTTAGTTTGGTGAACAGTTTCTGAGAACACTTCCGGACAAAAAAAGTACCGGAGAAGAAATAAGAAGAAAAAAGAACTAGTGCTAATTGTAACGGGAACCGTTACAGATGTTCCCCAAACGCTCCCCAACTCCCTTTCGGTGCCATATTCCCTGTAAGCTTCATTAAATAACACAAACTCTATGGATTTGAGACTTTGAAAACGTTTACCCAGAAATGTACCATGCTCATTCAAATTTTAGCATTGCATGTGTGCGCATGTGAATGCATGTACGTAATGACCATATCATCTTGTCTACACAATCTATATATTTTAATATACTAAATATTAAAATATTTAATCCAAGAGTATTGAAAAAATTCGCCCATTCAAGTGTATTTTTGATTTTACCCATTTCGCGTGCACGCACGTGCATACATGAGCATGGTGATCATACCTTCTTGTAGAAGTCCATTATATATATATCTATGTTCCAAATCCCATCTTGTTTGGTTGAAAACCAAGGGAGTTATAACTGTTTAAAGTTTCAGCCAATCAGATTGCAGCTCACGTACACGCACGTGTATGCATGTGCATGGTGACCATACCTTCTTGTAGAAGTTCATTTTATATATCTATGTTCAAAATCCCATCAAACCAAGGGAGTTGTAGCTATTTAAAGTTTCAGCCAGTCAGATTGCAGCGCACGTGCATGCACGTGTTTTCATGATAATTTCTATATATCATGTTGTAGGACATCCTAATGCATGGCTATGTTCAAAATTTCAAAGGATTTCGTCAAAAAACAAGAAAGATATTGAGACTTTAGTTTCAGCCAATCAGAGCGAAGCGCACGTGCATGCGCGTGAGATCTTGCTTTTTTGATCATGTCATCTTGTCTACACTACTAATATATCCTTAAATTATAAATTTCAAAAGATTTCATCAAAAAATAGAAAAGTTACCGCTATATCCATTATATTGGTCATTTCACGTGTTGCACGTGCTCGCTCTTGCAAGCACGTGCGCGCAAAATGGCATGTTGACAATGTCATCTCATCTACATTTATAATATGTCTATATATTCTAAATATCAAAGCATTACATCAAAAAATGTAAAAGTTACGGCAATTTCAAGTATATTGGTCATTTCACGTGTTGCACGTGCGCGCTCTTGCAAGCACGTGCCCGCAAAATGACCCTTGTTCCGCAAATCTACATAACATGCCTACTTATCCTAAAAAGGTTTCCCCTTAATCGGATGTGTACTTTACAAGATCATTCGCGGACAAAATTTTCCCAAGAAGAAAAATAATAAAAATAAGAAACAGAGTAAAAACAATATGTTCCCCAACTTCGTTTGGGGAACATAATAATAATAATAATAACTAGTGCTAATTGTAACGGGAACCGTTACAGATGTTCCCCAAACGCTCCCCAACTCCCTTTTAGTGCCATATTCCCTGTAATATACTATATATGAAAGCATTCAGTCCAAAAATTTTAAAAATCACTCATACAAGTGTATTTCTAATTTCATTCGTTCCAAATGCACGCACGTGCGTGCACATGCATGATGACCATACTTTCTTGTAGGAGTCCCTTATATTTATCTATGTTCTGAATCCCATCCTGTTTGGTTGAAATACAGGGGAGTTATAGCCATTTCAAGTTTCAGCCAATCAGATTGCAGCACACGTGCATGCGCGTGATTTCATGATTTTTTTTCTATATCGCATTGTAGGATATCCTAATGAATGACTATGTTTTAAATTTCAAAGCATTTCGTCAAAAAACAAAGGAGATATAGTCATTTAAAGTTTCAGCCAATCAGATCGCAGCACACGTGCATGCGCGTAATTTCTTGAAATTTTTTGTATATCATATTGCAGGACATCCTAATGTATGATTATGTTTTAAATTTCAAAGCATTTCGTCAAAAAACAAAGGCGATATAGTCATTTAAAGTGTCAGCCAATCAGATTGCAGCACACGTGCATGCGCGTGATTTCATGAAATTTTTTCTATATCATATTGTAGGATATCCTAATTCATGACTATGTTTTAAATTTCAAAGCATTTCGTCAAAAAACAGAGATGATACTGAGATTTTTGTTTTAGCCAATCAGAGCGCAGCGCACGTGCATGCGCGTGAGTTCGTGCTAATTTGACAGTGTCACATTATCTACACTATTAATATATCTTTATATAATGAGTTTCAAATCATTTCATTAAAAAATGTAAAAGTTATAGCTATATTAAGTATATAAGTCATTTCACGTGTTGCACGCGCACGCACGTGCAGGCGTATGCGCGCAAAATGACCTTCGTTCCGCACATCTACACTACACACCCATTAACCCTAAAAAGGTTTTAGGTCAGTTGGGTGAACAGTTTCTGAGAACACTTCCGGACAAAAAAGTACCGGAGAACAAATAAGAAAAAAAAAGAATAATAATAATAACTAGAGCAAAGCTCGTTGCAAAGCAACGAGTAGGTCTTCCGTCCTGTTTGACCGGAAGTAGCATTAATTTTTAAAAAAATGAGAAATAACGCCTAAAAATGGTTTGAATCCTTTAACGCTATGTTAAATGCAAAAATAAGCAATTTTTTGCTACTTCCGGTTTGACCGGAAGTGACGACAATGGACGAAAAAATTATTTTTTTGCTTCTAGAGACATTTGTTACCAAAAAACTTGTCAAGAACGGCAAAAATACGCGTTTTTCGACTACTTCCGGTTTGGCCGGAAGTGACGACGCCGGACGTTTTCTGACGACTTCAATAGATTAAGCTTGTCATTTTGAACAACTTTGCTTCTTTGACGTATTACAAATTCTCAATACGTTTTGAGATATAAAGAAAAAACTGTTGGCCCCTCTAGGCCCTTAAATTTAGGGGCCAGCCCTTTTTTCGAGATATCATTTGAAAGATCTTTACATTCTGCACTTCTTTTGTTCTATACGTTTTCACAAAATATTTTCAGGTAAAAAGATATCGAAGAAAAGGTGTGAGAAATTTTGAAATTTGTGATACGTCTATTTTCGGGCCATAGCGAGCGCCGACGAGCGTCACTTCCGGTAAATTTGATATACCTGATGCACCTCTCCAGACATAGCTCTACCTAGCCACAAAGTTTGAAGTTTCTATCTAGAGCCGTTTTTCGGGAAAATTGTGGACAAAATGACCCTTAAAAATCAGAAAATCGACGATATCTCTAGACCGGAAGTGACGTCATCGAAACGGAAAAAAACGCATAAGGTTCAAGTGATGTTCCATACGTCCTGAAAGTTTCATAAGATTTTGTTGAGCCGTTTTCGAGAAATCGCGTGCACAAAATCGGTAAGAAAAAAAAAATAATAATAAAAGTGAAAAAGAAACCGAAGAAAAACAATAAGGTCTTCCGCTGAAGACGGAAGACCGTAACTAGTGCTAATTGTAACGGGAACCGTTACAGATGTTCCCCAAACGCTCCCCAACTCCCTTTCGCTGCCATGTTCCCTGTAAGCTTCATTAAATAAGACAAACTCTGTGCATTTTTGACTTTTACAACGCTTTCCCAGAAGGATACCAATTATATTCAATTTTTAGCATTGCACCCAAGCGCATGTGAATGCATGTGCGTTATGACCATATCATCTTGTCTACACTATTTATGCATTTTAATATACTATATATTAAAGCATTCAGTCCAAAAGTAATAAAAATCACTCATTCAAGAGTTTGTTTTAAATATACTCGTTTCAAATGCACGCACGTGCGTGCACGTGCATAATGATCATATCTTCTTGTAGGAGTCCCTTACATCTATCTATGTTCTAAATCCCATCCTGTTTGGTTGAAAAACAAGGGAGTTATAGCCATTTAAAGTTTCAGCTAATCAGATTGCAGCACACGTGCATGCACGTAATTTAATGATTTT